TTTTATTGGGTTTTAAACTAGTTACACAATTGAAATAGTAAATTAGGCACTACTCTATACAGGGATTATTCCTGTGTATGCTGACACTTCAATACTGTATCAAGACCACTGAAGTGCTTAGATTGGGATGGTCAGCATGTAGATACTAAAAAATATATTGCAGTGTTCCTTTAAGGATGTGTCACAAGATGCCATTTATCAACTTTTGAGTTATTCCAACTAGAAGATACTTTGTACATTATAAAGTTGTGACAGGCAAACATGTTATCACTTAGATACACACAAAAAAGTACATTCTAATATTAAATGAACTTTAAAAAGTCCCACATTTCAGCTTTTGTAACATGAGAAGATAAAATAATTTCAAAACACACACCAAAAAATGGTATTCTGTAGGTACAAAGTCCTATAGTAAAAAGTTGTGTGTGAATCTTTACAAACCAGTCACACAAGGGCTGCATCTATACAAAGTCTTGCCAATGTTATCTCTATGGTTTATGCAATCTTTTACATCTATGTAACACACTAAGTAAGTCAAATACCAAGTCTTATTACTTTCATGATTCTGCAGGCAGGCAGGCTGAGAGGAAGTAGGAAAGAGGGAGAGATGAAGAGAAGGGGGGGGGCAGAGATATTAAAAGAAAATTTCTATAAACACAGCAATCGTCCGTTTTTATGAGGTGCAACATATTTCCAGGTGAGGTGCCAAACAGTATTTATGAAGACTATAGGGCAAAAAGCAACCAGCCAAGGTGTTTATTGATGTTGTTTTTATTTTTAAAATCACACATTGTATACACATACAAATCACTCTAAAATTTATTCATCAGACCCCCAATTTTTCAGCAATTGGCTCTTATTCAGCACCAAAAACTCCAGTCTGTGGGGACACAGACACAGACTTCTGCATTGTGGTCAATCTGTCAGGTCATAGGTTAATTCTGAGACTTGCCCCCTTTGATTCTTTTCTCTTCATGGCTCTCCAGTCCCAAGGCTGTCCAGACTTCAGATTCATGTATGGCCTACTACCACTGAACCCAACAGCCTTTGAAGAAGAATTCAAAATAATTTGAGATGAATGAAATGACAGGACCCACATTACTGATGAGCATTCTCCATTCAAGGAAATAGTTTTGTTTTTTTTAACAAGTTTCTAGACTGTTTGGTCATGATGCCATGATCATACTGGATTATTTCTAGTCTGAGACTTTGTGACTTTGTCATATGTCTCAAAGAAAAAGTGATCAGTATTCTAGGAACACTTCAGGGCAAGTTAGCAAATCAAATGGCAGCTGAGAACCTGTGAATAGAGTCTAAGGAGGCCAAACACGAAGCCACTAAAATGATGAGAGCTCAACAGAGGCTGAGTTGTGAGACCTGCAGACAGTCACCACAGATGGTACCTGAGGATCTGGAATTTTTGATGAATTGAGCCCCAAATCAGGACTAGTCATCTGCATTAAGGAAAAAAAAAATTGTTAGGTAACAAAACAGTCAGTTCTAAAATCCCACCAAATAGATTTTCTTCATTTTCCCAACCCTTGTCTATACAAAGACTTCCTGGACCCCCCTTTTTTACAGAGGGTAATTAACAGAATTTAGATGAGCTGCACATGGTGAGGAATGCCTTTAATACTAGTACTCTGGAAGGGGGAGAGGCAGAGTGAGTTTTAGACTCTACCAAAAACAAAAACAAAAACAAAAACAAAAAACCCAGACAAACAAAAAAGAATCCAGATAAATGCTCAGCAGTTAAGAGCATTTGCATCTGTTCCAAGTAACCAAGCTTATAAACATCTGTAACTCAGTTTCCTCTTCTGGTCTCTACAAGCATGCCATGCACATGCGACACACATTTAAAAAACAAAAACAAAAACAAAACAACCAGATGAAGTGTTCTCATGATTGTAGAACACAGAGTTTCCAGTTACAACCCCAAATATCCTGTTCATGAAGCAATTTATACTACAATTTCTTTTCTTTCACCTGACTATCCCAGGCTACTAATGTAACTTATTTGTTTTCTAACTGTCTCAAAGCAGTCACATAAATTGCCTGCCTAAAAATGGAAACAAAACCATGAGAAATTCTATGGGACTTATTTCCACTGCCCACAGCAAAAGCCATATTTATTTATTTATTGAGACAGAATCTCAGTCTGTAACCCAGGGCTGCTTCTAAACTCTGAGATTGGTGGAATATAGAGACAAATACCTGGAATGTCTGCAGAGGTAGGAGGGCTGCAAGATCCAGGCAGCCAGGGTTACACAGTGAGGCACTGTCTCAAAAAACCAACCCACCCACCCACCCACCCACCCAACAAAACTCTCTGAGGATAAAGGCACAGGCCATCATGTTTGTTTACCTCAGTGCTGAAATTGAACCCAGGGTCTCATCTGTGCTAAATCTGGGCTGCACCTCTGAACTATATACCCACTACCTCAAAAGCCATGCTCACAAACAGTCAGGTGTGCGGGCACACAGCTGCAAACCTAGTACTCATGAGGCTAAGTGGGGGAATCATTCCAGATGCAAAGCTGGCCTGGTCTGCACAGTTATTGCTGTCTTAAAAAGTCAAAACAAGCCGGGCGGTGGTGGCGCACGCCTTTAATCCCAGCACTCAGGAGGCAGAGCCAGGTGGATCTTTGTGAGTTCGAGGCCAGCCTGGGCTACCAAGTGAGTTCCAGGAAAGGCGCAAAGCTACACAGAGAAACCCTGTCTCGAAAAACAAAAACAAAAACAAAAAAACAAACAACAACAACAAAAAAAAAACAAAAAAAAAGTCAAAACAAACAACTCTCTCCATTTTACCTAAGCAGTTACATCTAAAATGTCAGCAAAGTTTAAAAACTTGTAGATATTCTTCTCTCAGTCACCAGTGGAATGACAGTGCTGGGGATGTCACATGTAACTCACCCTCTATGCATAATAGCATGGTGACACAAGGAGGTCAGTGAGGACAAGCAGCTGATCGTCAGTGAACTGCTGCTTGTGTTCTTGCCAGTTGTCATGGTGTGTCCTTCGGAAATTGGACAGAGTCTTCTTTACAGTCATCTGTAATCAACCCGTGTATATTTTAACCAGAGTTAAATATTGGTTATCTTCAGCTACATTAAAATCCACCTAGACCTCAAGTCTCACACACTGCAAATGCTACAATGTTAGAAAACCAAGTCAATTTTCTGTCTCCAAACCACTAATGTTCTGTAAAATTCCTAAGCTTCACGTCAGGACAAAGCACTGGAATGTACTGCCACATTGCTAGACCAGTTTCAATACCATATTGTGTTTACAAAGGGGACCTGTTTAGCTCAGGAGCACGGGTGCTCACTCCTAGATAATATAATCACTATTTCCAGTTTAACATTAGCCCTCAGTGAGATGAGAGACTTTCCAGATACAAAATGCCAGAATAACAGTGACAAGAAACCTAACTCTGTAGCTAGTGCTTTGTATCTAGAAAGGAGAGAAGCTACAGAATCTAATTTTATTTTGTTATACATATGAGAAATGTCTCTGCAAGGCTTTAATAATTACAGATTAAACGTGACCCTATCAGAGACCGTAGTTTGTTTTTTTGTTTTAGATTTTTTTTGAGATAGGGTTTCTCTGTGTAGTCTTGGCTGTCCTGGAACTCTACAGACCAGGCTGGCCTCAAACTCAGAGATCCACCTGCTTCTGTCTCCTGAGTGCTGGATTAAAGGCACGCACTACTACCTCCCAGCTGAGGCACTAGCTTTATAAAGCAGTAAGTTCAAAGTGTGCAGGAAAGTATTTATCAAATGATACAAATAAACTGACAAGTAAGAATTATACTTTGGGATGTACATTATTTTGGTAAATTGTTATGTGCTGTTTGAGTTCACTAAGAAGCTGGATCTGGAAACAGAGTTGGCCCCAAGCATGTGTATGTTGTGTTCTCTAAGGCCCCTTGTCTAAGAATAGTTTAGCCTCTTTAACTCTGTGGCAGAAGGAGAGGACCGCCAGAGGGCAAATCACTTCCAGCAGAGGCTGCCTCTGTTTATTCCATTATGTAAAAGCACTTGCAGTGGGAAAATTGGCAAGTTCAGCTCAACTGTAAACTTCCCCAGTAATGTTCTGCTGTTATAAGCATTGATTTGACTATGTTATCTCTATCTGCTATTTGTTCTTTTACTTGGAAGCCTCACTAGAGGATATACTCTACTCTGCCTGAGACTTTCTTTCTTTCTTTTTTTTTTTTTGGTTTTTCGAGACAGGGTTTCTCTGTGTAGTTTTGCGCCTTTCCTGGAACTCACTTGGTAGCCCAGGCTGGCCTCGAACTCACAGAGATCTGCCTGGCTCTGCCTCCCGAGTGCTGGGATTAAAGGCGTGCGCCACTGCTGCCCGGCTGAGACTTTCTTTATTAGGAACTCCAGCTGGCTGCCTTAAAGGTGCTTCACCAGTTGGTTTCTGCTAGATATACTCAGTCTCCAAATTTGATGGTACTTTGTTGTCTGATATCTGCCTGATACTTGCTATTTATTCTTTTACTGTGGCTTGCTGTGTATTTAAACTCATTCATACAAAACTGAAAATATAGCTATTATAGATCATTCTTTGGACCATACAGAACATACCTCAATAGGCTGGGGATCATTCAAATGTGCACTGAGATTCATAAGGAGCTGGGGCATCCAGGTGGGAACATCATAAGGGCTAGAAAGAACACATGCACCAAGTCCAAGAACACCAGCATGACGTCTGACCAACTCTGTAATGAAAACAACATATACATCCTTTACATTGAAATAAATTGTCATTCATACTAGATGTGCTTCCAGTGTGCACATTTCCCCCATTTAAATATAAATTTACAAGTACGTACAGAAAAAAATCATGATATCTGGGCTGAACTAAAACCTGCAAGAATTTTAGAGACATTCTATAGTTGTCCCTCAGTGACAGTATAATTGTTTCTAGCCCGGAATGGAGCTTATTGTTAAAAACCAACATAGCAACAATTTTCTTGAACAGCTCATTCATATTCTAAGTACAATTTCTGATCCAATCTCTCAGATTAGGTAATATTTTCTCTATGTGACTGACCCCACACAAGATGCACCACCATGAATGACAAATGAACTTCTTCAAGCAGAACTGCAACACATGTCTACCAAGGGGTCTGTCTGTTCCTTCCTCAAAGGTGTAAGTCCAAGTGTTTTCAAATACCCACATTCCCTGCTTCCTTTCTTGCTTTCCCTCTCCCCTTCCAGTGGTGCTGGGATGGATCAAACACGGGGCCTCACAGGAGCTAAGCTCCCCACCTCACTATGACTGACACACCTAAATCTGTTTCCATCTTTTTGGAAGTATCTGGTATTGAACTCAGGACATGATGCATATTCGCCAAGAACTCATTACACCGAGCCACATTTCTAGTTCTCCTCAGAGTTTCTCAATAATGCTGTAACACATATTCTTATGTAAATCTATTCTAGTTGTGTCTATGAAGAGACAAAAAAGGTAAGAAAACGAGATTTTGGAGTAGTAAAAATGATAAACAATGCCATTTGGCATAATAAAGACTTAAACATTTTATTCTCAAAGAAAATTAGAATGTTGATACTCTATTGGAGTTTGGCATTAATACACAAATACTTAATACTGGGTATTCAATAATTATGACATAACTATGGCTCTAATGTATAAGAACTTCATATCCTGGGCACTTTGCACAAATTTGATGAATTTCATATTTACTAATTTTTCTACATTGTTTCTATTTCTTTGGGCTTATAGTCAGATGTTTCCCTGTAGTAATTTTTCTTCTAACATAACATGATGGTCAGACTTTACGGCATCTGATTTATGTCAATTACCTCAGAAGCTCCTATGACTCTTCTCATCCTTTCATCAACTGACCAGTACAGTCTATACTGCATTAACATTTTGCACAATAGATCACACATACACTGGTGGTCCCTAGAGGTATCATAGCTGTTTTATTGTGTTCACAGTACATAGTACTAAAAAGTAATTTATTCAGTATTGCATTTCTTTGAAGTGATTTCCCTCATAGAGCCACACATGACTATCCAACATTCCCTCTCTAGACAGAAGCAAAGGTGCCTCTAGTTCCTTAAAACTTTTTCTTTCCTGTATGCATGTATTCCTGTTATGTACGTGTGTGTGTGTGTGTGTGTGTGTGTGTGTGTGTGTGTGTGTGTGTGCACATAAATGTAGATAGCAGAAGTCAATCTCAGGTCTTATTCCTCAGGAGCCTTTCACCATTTCTTTTGAATATATGTATTTTTAGTATTTTTATTTCTGTGTATGTGTGTATGTATGTGCATATGCATGTGAGTTCCCACAGAAGCTGAAACAGGGTATTGAATTCTATGGAGCTGGAGTTATAGGCAGGTGTGAGGCTCTAGATGTGGATGTTAGAAACAGAACTTGGGTCTCTAACAGTAAGCATGTGTAACCACCAAGCCATCTCTATAATTCTGTACAGTTTTTTGAGTGAAGGTCTTTTATAGAGACCTGGGGATCTGCTTGTCTCTACTGCCCAGTGCTGCAGTTATGGGACAGTACATCTGGCTTTTTATGTAGGTGCTAGGAATCAAACTCAGGGCCCCAGGCTTTTACGGCAAGCATTTTACTAACCATGCAATCTTCCTTGCTAATTCCCATTTTTCATTAAAATAAGTATTTATTTTGTGTGTGTACTCCCACTTACATGTGCATATCTGCACAAGCATACATCTGAGTGGCATGGTATGCAAGTAAGGTCACAGGAAACTTGTGGGAGAAAGTCTTCCTTTCCATCATGGATACCAGAGATCAAACTCAAGTCCCAAACATGGCAGCAGATGTTTTTTTCTTTTAGTGCACTAACACATAAATCCTAAATTCTGAACACAAGATAGCTTAAATCCTCCAAAATAACCAATTCTAGATCTGTCTTTACGTACTTATTTTAGGTGGAGGTTAGAACTGCCTTATTAAAAAGTTGCTGTATGCAATAGTGGACAAGTGCCTTTGTACATATAATTTTAGCCTTTTCATTCCCGGTCCTGTCTTCTTCATGCCAATTTGTAACAAGTAGGGACAATTATTCCCAGCATCTAGCCAAGACCTGAACACAAACAAGTACTTCAAATTTTTAAGCAAGTCTTCCTAATTCGCCAAAGGTACGGGGATTTGTTAATATTACCTGCAGAAGGAATGGTATCTCCCACAGATCCAGGGTCTCGCTTTCGTTTCTTGGGTAGTTTTGTTTTGCAAAGTTGCTCAAAATGAACCTGCATGGCACTGTCCATGGTAAGGAAGTTACACTGTAGCAGACCACTTAAGGTGGTAGCAGCCATTTCTCGAACCTGGAGAGAGAATTAATCATTTCTATTAGAACTGAGATCCTAAGTCTGAGGTGATAAAGGACAGAGTGGCACTGAAAAGTTGAGTGGAGAACTTTCTTAGAATTGTATGTAAAATTTACTTTTTCTTTCTTTTTTATGATAGCCATCACCAGATTCCCCAGGTTTCTGTGGCCACAAAATGGATAAAAGCTGTATCAGGGTTATAGACATATAACTAGTATACATAAAATAAAATGTCTCCACAAATTAACACATAAAATAATAAAAACAAATGTTCAAAAAATAAACAAAAAAGTCAATGTTTCACTCTGTATTCCTTGAGAGGTTCTTTGTATTGTCATTTGGTTGCCCTGTTTTCTATAAATATGTGCTACTAAGACTGAATGGGAGGGCTTCATTTAAGCTAAGCAGGTACTCCATCACTGAGGTCTCTATTTAATTTGTATTTTGTAAAAAGGTCTCACTAAGTTGTCCAGGCCCCTGCCTATGTTAGAACAGTGTTCTATCAGTGAGTTCCATGCCTAATCCCTTTTGTTTTTAGGTTGACAGGATCTTGTTAAGTTGCCCAGGCTGATGCTCATGAACTTCCCATCTTCTTTCCTCAAACATCAGAGTACCTGAAATCACAGGTGTGCACCACCACATCCAGCCAGACAGTGTTACTGCATTTAATTTTTGATGGATTTTGACTGATTCAGGATAACACAATGTGAAGGGCTCAACCATTTTATGACTATCAACTCTGTACAAAGAATAATGCTGACATGCTATGACATAGAACTGGAATGTGGGCACTAGTCACACTGGCCAGCAGCAACACACTCTGTGTTTTGTGGATAAACAGAAGATATATTAAAAGTAAGTACAACTGTCTTGTCTATTGTTTGCATCTCTATGGTCATTATTTGTAGTTTGTTTTGTCTTTATATGTCTACAATTAGTTTACAAAAATTTGATGATTATTGTATGTAACAACATTTTTCTCTGGTCTGAAGATTGATTGTTAAATTTAAGTTTCTAATATTCTTACAGTGAGATTTGTCTATTTTGATGTCATCTGAAGGCTTAAAAAGTCACCTCTGCTTTAAGTTCCTACAAATAGCCAAATATGTATTTCAGTTTCCTTAACTTAAAAAAGTGAGATGACACTACTTTACTATATAGAGTATGTCACACTGTGAAATGTCCCAACTGATTTTCCTCCAAGCTGCTAATAAATACCCCAGTACTTCCAGGATCACTCTTTCCCAGTACTAAGACCTAGATTTAGGAATTTTTTTTTTTTTTTTTTTTGGCCAAGATTTAGTCAGAATTTACATGCCAATTATAGCTTTACAATGTGAGGGAAAAAAAGAATTATTTCATTTTATTAGTCAAAAACATATTATCTCTTCACACTTCTAATCTTTTCCTTTAAATTTGTAATAGAAAAAAATCAGCTCTCAATTATAAAGTTTTTTCAATTCAATCACAAGTAAGATTTAGCTAGTTATTACTGCTATATGTAACATTTTCTATCATCTTATTCCAATGATGGCTTCATTTGCCATATGTCATAGTAACGGGCATTTTCTGTTTAGAGAAAGCACAATGCTTTATTAAGTAGTAACAAATGTGAAATAAGTCTATAATGTTACACGGTACTCTAGAGAAGCTGCCTGTTCACATGATTATATGCTTATCCATCACCTCTATGACCTGCAGATCCTGCACTGTTCTATTTATGAAATCTTACTTAGGAAAAAATAAGACTCTATGCAAGGAACACCAGGCATAGAACCCAGTCTCTGGCAAGGCAAATAGTCTTCTGCTTTCTACAGAGCTTCACCATCCTCAGCTCACCTCCCTTCTATTTTTTAAGATCTTCCAGATCTTTAATACATGTTCTTCCAGATCTTTAATACATGTTCTTCCTAAGTGCTAAGATTCCAAATATGCACCACTACATGGGGCTTAGAGCAACATTTTTTAAAAGTCCCAAGTAACAGGAATTTCCATGGAAAGCTCCCCAAACAGAATTTTCAAAGCAGTCATTACTCAACCCCTTATTCATGTGCTCTCACTACAGAGCCGGCCTCCTCCTCTGATCAGCCATCTGCCCTCCTATCTCGGTCACCACCTCCTCCCTACACAGACCCACCTCGGGAAGAACAATGACAGGACAACAGCTCACCAGCAGGTTGAGCAACATTGTATTTTTCTTGAATTATTTACTTTTTTTATTACTTGTAATTATTACTTGCTCCATGATGCACACCTGGAACTCAGATCATCAGGCTTGGCAACAGGAGCCTTTTACTTGCTAAGTTATCTCACTGGGCCTGAATTTTATTTATACAAAGGTACTTTTTACTACAGATTTAAGAAAACACTTCTTTTAATTTTGATGTTCTGAGAAGACTCATTCTAAGTGACAGTAAGCTAAGGATCACACATTTTCTTGGTTGTTTTTCAACTAATAATAGATTGAAAACAAAAACAACTTTGCTTTACAGCCAGTCTCATCAACAGTAAGACGTAAGAAATTACAGTCGTATTATTGTTGCTGAATTAAGACAGGGTTTGATGTAGATAGGCTGGCCTCAAACCTGCTGTATAGCTGAGGTTACACAAAGAACGATTTTAAATTAAATAGTATCAAATCTGAAGTAAAATTCGATATCACCTGCTGCATTCTGGGAAGATGCTAATGCTGGGATGACAAGCATGTGCCATGCCTGGTGTTATGTGGTGTAAGGCAAGCCTCTTCCAACTGAGGTACATCCTCAATCCTATTTAGCATTCTTCTTCTATCATTCATAGTAACACATACACTCCCTAAAATCTAACAGTCTTCAAAGGAAGTATTACAATAGAAACAAACTAAGATCAATATGATTTATAAAAACCTATTCAATCCAAAGGCTGGACATACTTTGAGATTGTGAGTCTCTTACTGAACCTGGGAGTAGGCTGGTGACGATCAAATCCCAGTGATCTTCATGTCTCTGCCCTGGAGTTTCATTGTGTGTGACTACATGCCTGGCTTATTATGTAGGTGCTAGAGATTTGAACTCTGGCCTTCATGCTTGCTGCCCACTAAATGGTCTTATCCCACTGAATTATCTTCCCAGCCAGTTATGTTTATTTATGAGCAATTGGAGAAAATAGAGTCATACTCAAACATTCTTAGAGACAGTTAAGTTTAATTAAAAACAAAACAAAACAAAACAAAACAGTTCTGTGTGTGGGTATAGCATGCCACAATACATGTGTGGTGATCAGAAGACAATGCTCAGGAGTCAGTTCTTTCCTAGATGTCGGTTCCAGGATTAAATAAATGCAAGTAAATTCCTTTATCTGCTAGGCCATCTTTTTGGCTCATGACAGTATTAATTAATTACTTACTATTATTATTATTTTAGAGAGACAGGGTCTCACTATGTAGTCCTGGCTGGCATTGAATTTACAGAGATCTGCCTCCTAATGGGATTAAAGGCATACACCACCCTTTTAATGACAAGGCATTGTTACAGACTGGATCGTAAATGTCCCTCTAAAGTCCATGTATTTGAGGCTTTATTCTCTAGTGTGGCACTACCAGGAAGTGGTACAGCCCAAGTCTTTGGTCTCAGAGGGAACAGTAGGGAAAGTCTCTTTCCTAGCTTTTCTACTTTCTGGAGAGTAGATGAGTGGTTTTGCTTGCTCCACCACATTCCTACCACGCTGCCTTACCATATGCCTACAAGCAACCAGGTTGATCTGTCATGGACTGAAGCCTATAAGTTAAGGTATATAAACTACAAGTTAATACAGATAAACCCTTTCTTTCTCTGCGGTGCTATGTTCAAGTATTACTATGGTCAAAGAAAGCTGATTAATACTCTAAATCTGAGGCTTGGAAACGTTATTTCTGAGATTTCCACTTTTCATTTTTATACTTATATTTATACTTATATTTATTGTGTTTCTTAGAAACTAACCTAAGTATTTTCACTGAATTTGTTATTTTTGTTTTTTGAGACAGAGTTTCTCTGTGTAGCTCTGCGCCTTTCCTGGATCTCACTCTGTAGACCAGGCTGGCCTTGAACTCACAAAGATCTGCCTGCCTCTGCCTCCTGAGTGCTGGGATTAAAGGCGTGAGCCACCACCCTGCCAGCTCACTGAATTTGTTATAAGCAGTCTGTGAGTACCCTACAGTCTGAATGACATTTGCTTGCTGAACCCTGGAAAGCTGCACAGGCTGATTAGGGAAGTAGATAAACCACCATTCCTGCTTTCCTATAGATCAGTCTCTTCTCAATGCTTAGATACACAAACATAGAAAATTCTCTACTACAAACAAGTTTTAAAGTGTGTAAAGTAAATAATATTTTTATGAAAGTTTGTGTATATTTCTTTCCCAGGGTCAATGATAATTATATCTTTTTTTTTTTTTTTTTTTTTTTTTTTTTTTTTTTTTTTTT